ACTACTGGTTAGCTTTTATTGTTATGCTAAGTCTAGTAAGCAATACAATTATTCAGACTAGTACAATAAATAATCACATCTTATTTCTTGAAGCTACCTTACCTTCCTAGCGATTTATTCTCCTGTGACTGATGTGAGCATTAGAAGAGCTTTTCATTACATAATTACTGCATCCTGAGACATAAAGTTGCAACAGGTACAATCCAATTACTGGTAGCTTGTTTTGGGACACAAGTCTAAGTTTTATGTAATCGAAGGTATTATGTCCTTCTGATTTGGTCTGTGTTATGGATCGGTCATGGCATTTAAGATGGCGAAAGAGAGCAGTAAAAGAGTACTCACCTGATGTGTGTCAAGAGGGTGTGCTGATCTGAGTAAACCTTAAGATCATTGATAGAGATAGCAGTAAAAAAGGTACTCACCTGATTACCAAGGATGTTGCATATACAGTGTGTCCTTTTTAACTGCACACATGCATACTGTTGTTTGCCGGACTTGACCAACTGAGAATTAGGTATTCTAATCATTGGAAATGAAATTCATTTTACGCAGTTATTCATAATTTTATAGATTTCATGGATATCTACTGTTCTTTAGATCACTATGTTAAGTGTTAAGCTTCTGAATGTAGCTGGGCTGTATGGTTAGAATCCCTGGCACTGAATCCCTGCTTCCTTTTGGATATTCTTCTGGTTCAGAGTTGAATGTCTAACTAATATGATTATATTCGATATTATATGTCTTGTACATATGCTCAGATATCTATAGTTGGTAAACCAACTATTTCATATCCAATGTCAACTTTTTTTCTTATCCTAGTTGCCCTGGTTATTTATAGTTTTAAGTTATCTTGTTTCTGACATTATTGTGGTAGAATTTTAGTTCTCCAACTGGAAAATGAAGAAGACAATCACTAGTAAAAGTTCCCTGTCTAAATGCTGATTATACCTAGAAGGAATTGTGATTATGTATATTTTACTGTGTAGGTGAGTTATTTAGAGTCTGTCTGGTCTAGCTCGAGGTTCAGAATAATAAATTATATAAAAGAATAATAATTAAATGTAGTTATTCTTTAATATTGAATGCCCAAGTAATGATTATATTTCGGAATTGTTGAATCATGAAATTATATAAAAGAGTAATAAATAAATGTCAAAATTGATAAAATTACCAAACTCAGAAGTTTATTTGCGATAGCTCTGTCTAGAAGTTGAAGTTACCTTTTAAAAAAGCCAGAAGTACTGTTACAAAAATATATATTGCTTGGTATTTGATTTTGAAATAGAGAAGTTGTTTCAGAAGCAGGGCCAAACAGGCACTTTGCAAGTTTAAATTATAGTGCGTTATGTAATTTTATTTTTAATTGACTGTTCTGCCATGTATGCATGTTTTTACATAAAATCTTTATTTATTTGATCCTTTTTTCTTTTTGTTTCTCTTAATCTCAGTTCCTTTCCTTCAACTAGGATCTGGTGGTTATTCTTCTAGAAGAGAGATAGTAGAACCAATTTGAGGCCTTTTTGTTTAAGAACACGTGTAGCACAAGTGCATGCCCCAATTCAATTTCATTAACACAAGTAGTTGTGGAACATTCCGGGTAACATAAAACAAGTACTCCTTTTCAATTATAGCATAATCTACATCGAGTTGCTTATTTGATATTTCATTTTATAGAAATTCTAAAATGTGAGTTCATGAAACATTCCATACCATATCTGATTGTCTTTTTGCTGAACACATTAATATAGTAGATGAAGTGGAAGATCCCTCTGGGTGCATCTTTGCCTTTTAACTGTCCATCTGTAATTCCCCAATCATTTCACGAATGCAGTTGCAATCTGTTGCAAGTTTGAAAAGTTATTATAAGGATTTCCAATGAAATAATTTCTTTCTCTATCTACAACACCTATGGTTTTTTTAAAATTGTATTGAGGAGAAAATTTACCCCAATTTTAATGATTCTGCTTGTGCATCATCCTTGTAAGGTTGTGGCTGACTTATCTGGAGTTCATATGGTGCTTGCATATTATATCCATTGCCAAAGGTGTAAGTTGGGTGGGAGCTTCTGTTAGCTTCATTTGCATCCATCTGTCCATACACCTGAGGGCAAGAATTATTATATACATGTGTGCTAAGAGAAAAATATTTGACTTTATTCCGTTGCAAGATGAATTTCATTAGGCTCATGTTCTGGTGGCATTAGGTTTATAGATTCAGTCTATCTACTGTTTAAGTGGTGTGGCCTGGGGAAGAAAGAGGGAGGTAATTTTTATTGGCTGAAAGATAAAAGTTATTTAAAAGACAGTAACATAATACATTCTTAGAATTGTATAATACTGAAAGAAGATACCTTCTTTTGAAGTTCATCATTTTCCTGGTGGAGGAGGTCAACCTTTTTAAGGAGTTCTAGATTTCCCTGATGATTGAGATTTCCCTGCAACGGCACAAATTTAAGTTAGTCTACCAAAATATTCTCCAAAAGGAAAACCTGGTTGCTATGTAGAAAATATTCTAGGGAAAACCTTGTGGTTTAGTTCTTTGATTTCATCAGTCAGAATTTGGTCCTGCAGTGGAATGAAAAAAGAAAAAAAAACAACACAAAATGAGTTTACTTTAACTTTTATAGCACAACACTCTCATTTTCAGAAGTTTGCTTGCCTTTTTCGTACGGACACTTTTCAAACTCTTCTCTAGCTGATTTTCCAGATTCTTTAGATCTTTGACACGCAAACCAGATAGTTCTTCTCCCATCAGTTTCCTACATGTATATGTTAGTTGGGCTTTTCGTGAGTTGTACATGTTTTAATTAATAGCGTCAAGAAACTGGAAATGCCATATCATCATCTCTCCTGAGCTATATCAACATCTGTTGTTATTACTACTACTTGTCCATGTTGTCAGGTCTAGTGTTTAAAATTTATTATACTTGAGTTCGACATGCATGATTTTAAGTTGTGAAATTGAATTATTTACTTCACATTACATGAAGTTGTTCTTTAATTTGTTTTTAGAATCTTACAATCCTGTACTATGATTCAATTTGAATTTCCGTTTGTAAGCTGACTAATCAATCCTATGCAAGACTATAACAATATTGATATTAGGCCTTAGAAGTTGCTTGCTTCCTTCTTGAAGTTCAATAGTTTTCACTACCTGTGCTCCTCTTGCAAGTTCTGTAGTTGTTGCCTCAAGCTTGCTGCCTCCGTTTGCCAAAACTACCATGCATGAAATACAATTTAAATAAATAGAATTTGATTACTGGCAAAACATAAAATGATTTTTGAAGTTAGAATATTTGTTTTAAGTGCACAAATGAAATAACAATAATATTTCGCAAACATATATTTTGTTTTAGATTTCACTTTCTCTAGCAAAGTACATTGCATGTCTGATTCTTTCAAGTTCTGAAGCATCTGGTAAGGGTTGTCTCACTTGCTTCCATTTTTACAGAATATATACAAACATTATATGAGGTTAGTATGGTGCAGATTGTTGTTCCAATTTTTTTTTTTTTCTGAGAAATTGCCTAAAATCCACCTTATGATTAATATTTTAAAAAACCAACCATTGAATTGAAAGTTCTACTCTTGTAGATCATAGATGTCAATTTTCAAATTGATCTAACATTTATAACGCTTTGATCAAAGACACTCTACTTATTGACATATATTTAATGGTGTTAAATTTTGTGTAATCAAAGAACTAGTTAAGCCTACTAGATTAAGTTGAAATTTGACATGCATGACTTGACTAGAACTTTCAATCTAAAGGTTAGGTTTTAAAAGTGTTAATTAAAATATAATATTTTTAGAGACTTCCTCCATGGAAGATATCCCTATATATATATATATATATACATTGGTTTGAGTAATTTTTCATGAGCAGATTTTTGTTGTGCATCTTTTTTGTTCATCTTTTCTGCTCATACTAATGATTGGGTTTGTTTTAACAAATCATTTTGTAAAATAATGAATAGTAAGGGGACTTCATAGTATTTGTTTTCAAAAATTATCTATATCTTTGAGACATCATGAGGGGTTGCAGGATAGGTCTTCTTGTGCTCTTAAAATGTTGTGAAATATGAATTGATTGCTTAATAGATGCCAACTCATGTATTAAGTGTGCTTAATACATGCCCTCACACACACACACGTCACAAACAAAATTTTGAAATGTGGGGAGAAAATCTCGGTTTGGCTATTATGTAGTGATGGTAATGCATTACAAGTGTCCTTGTAACTTTTTCAAGAAAACAACCCACTATGTCGGTCTTTTTGGATCTATCAATGTAGTCTAAGGTGATTCTCGTAGAACATGTAATGAGGCCCTTATGTTACAGCTTTTTCTTCTCATGCTTCTATAACAAGTGGTCTTTGACTTTTATTTTAAGATATATGATTTGTGCTCTTGGAATAAGAATCATATATGTATATTTTCAATTTTGTAATTGTTTATATTTGGGAAAAACTGTCAGTTCTGTAGATGTTTAGCACGGTTCTCTTTTCCTCCAATTTGTATGATATTGGGATAGGTAGACTCACGGAATTTCCTCTTTTGGTCATATCTGTTTTGATTTTTGACTATTTATTTAACCACTGATATGATCTGAATTCTAAGTATTGTTCTTCTACTATGAGTCCCTTTTTTCAGTTCTGGCTGCACTTTTTTTGTGCAGTTTGGACTATGAAAATACCCATTGCTTGTTGCAATTTCGTTTATAAGATTATTTCAAAGGTAATTACTAGTAGATTGCAAGAGGTTCTTGGGACTATTATGGGTGAACAGTGAACACTGAACAGCAGGGTGCTTTCTTGAAAGGGCACTCAATTAATGACTAGGTTTTTTAATGTCTAGACCTGGTGAGGGGTGATAACAGAGTCAATGGTCCTCAAGGTTGCCTTATGAAATTAGACATGAGAAAAGTATATGATACCATTTCTTGGGAGGTTTTGCAGCAGGTTTTACTTGGGTTTGGGTTCCCTAGTAAATTTGCAGGGCTTATAATGGTTTGTGAACCTATTATTGACAAAGTCAGGGATAGAATATCCATTTGGAACAATAAATTCCTTTAATAAGCTGGGAGGATCCAGCTCACTAGTTCAATCTTGTTCCATCTACAGGTTTTTTGGTCTAGTATTTTCCTGTTGCCTAGCAAGGTTGTTGCAACTATTGATGGTATGTGTAGGAACTTCTCATGGACAGGTTCTGAAGCCAAAAGAGGGTTATCTACAGTTTCTTGGGGGCTTTTTATTAACCAAATTAAATGGTGGAATAGAGCAGCCCTCTGTAAATTTATCTTACAGGTATTCACAAACAAGGCCAGCCAATGTGTTAAATGGGTGAATGTACTCAATGACTTATATTTAAAGGGCAGAAGTTTTTTGAATGTTGATGTTCTTCAAGATTGTTCATGGACATGGAGAAAGATCCTTTGGTTGAGACGATTTATGAAAGGTAATATAAAGTTCCAAGTTGGTGAATTTGGTTGCACATTCTTATTTTTTGATTGGTGGTTGTGAGCAGCTATGGTGAGCTGATTTGGCAACATTGGGCATTAACACCACTGTTCAACAATGGAGACTCAATAGTGCATGAAATCTTCAAGTTTTATTAAAAGAGTTCCTGATGTGGCAGCAACTATTCTTTCTATTCCTGTCTAAGCCAGTGCTGACAGAGTGCTTTGGGTGCCACTGCCACATGGTTCAGGTAGATTCTGTCTCTAGTTGCTATGAACTCTCAAGGAAGAAAAAGCCTGTTGTGCATTGGCATAGCTGTATTTGGTATGGTGGCAGTCTACCTAGTCATGCTTTTGCAGTGTGGCTGGTTGTGCTTAAAGATTAAAAACTAAGGATATATTGTTGCAGAGGAATATTCAGCTGGACCCATTGTGCATATTATGTGGACATCAGAATGAATCCCGAAGTCATTTGTTTTTGAGCTGCTCATATTCAAAACAGGTCTGGCTCTTAGTCCTCTCATGAAGATTGGCATTGCAAGAATGCCTTCCTCTTGGGAGAACGAATGATCATTGATTTTGTACCTCTGCTAGTAAAAGGAGTTAGTTGGATAAGTTACTGAAGAGTCCTACTGCAGCTACTGTTTCTGGTTTGTGGAGAGAGGAATTGAGGATATTTAGGGGTGAGAATCATGCACCACAAGAGATTTATGTTTGGATTTTGCATATATGAAGTTTACATGACAGTTGAATGATATGAAAACAACCTCGGGTGTGCCTGGGTGTAGAATTACATAGATGTTTAAGAGAAATGTACTACTTCTGTATCAGCTGTCTGGATATAACAGTATTAACTATATGCACATTTATATCCGCCGTGTATTTTTCGAGTCGATAAAGAGAAGTTCTACAAAGTAAATTCTATTTATTTATTTATTTATTATTATTATTATTATTATATATTTCTGATCAGCAGTTCTAGAAAGTAAATTATAGCAGGCTGAGAATAATTACCTTGAGTTCAGAAGCAGGATTCAGCAGTTGTTGGTCCTCTTTCAGTTTGTTGTAGCGTTCAATGAGAGTTTTCATCCTAAAATGAAATGACAGGGAAAAAACATTCGTTTCTAACTTTCAATACTCCCAAAAGCAACGAACATAACGCCTTTGGTTCGTTAGAATTAACAGGGCACTCGCACCCTTTAAATTGTGCATTAAACAATTTAATCTGTAGTGATGGAACCATACCCAAAATAAATTGCTTTTTGATATTTTTATACTAAGTTTGAGTCTTATCTTGTATGTATTTATTCTTTAATTTATGT